TGAATAATATTCTACAATGAATGATAAAAATTATAATGAATAAAAATTATATAAAAGTTAATAAATATAATAGAAGAATGATATAGAAGAAAATAAAAGATGAAATGTATAAAATTACAAACCAGATACTGATACATAAATCGAATAAAATAGTAAAACACATAAATTTAATAAGTGATGATAATATTGAAATATAAAAAAGTTAAATAAAAAATTTATAATACTATAACTTAACAAAAAATAATACAATTAACATTAAAATATAAATACATGTTGATGAAAAATATCTGAAATAAAATGAAGAATAACAATTGATACTAATATTAATATTAAAATAATTTGATATGTGTAAAAAGAATAAATATAATAAAAAGGAAATCAAGAAATAATACTTATTTAATGGATGAAATATTAAGAATAGATAAACTATGAATTAATTAAAAGGCAATGCATTGTTAAAAAATAATATTATAATTAAAATTAAACATATTGAAATCTATCATAAAGAATGAACATACTACAGTATTGAAGTTATTATTCATTTAATATTTAATAAGATACATAAATAAAATAAATATAATAGTAATAAAAATATAAAATATCATGAGGTATTCTTTCTATTATAACCAAATATAAACAATAGAATTAACAAAAGAGAGTTGAAATATTTATATAAAATAAGTAACGATAAATATAATTTAAGTTAATACTATGTTTATCAATCTTTATTTTGTTATTTGTATTTGTTGATTGATTCTTTGTTTACTATTTTTATATTCATTAACCATTCTTTTAATTAAACAATAATTATTAAATTTATTTTTAATGATTTTAATGCATACTTTATTTATTAGATTATATTATTTAATGGAAACAATCCAAGAGAGTTGGATAAAATGAATAAAACTATTAAATTATTATATATATAGTGAACGTCTTCAGATAAGTTTTCAAAATTAAATAAGAAAGAACTGAAGTAACTCTGTCATGTTTAATATACTTATAGTTATTTTCACTGTAATTCTACTTCATTTCTGTTGTTTATAAAAAGAAAAAAAAATACTTAGAATGATATTTAGATAAAAATGACTATTTTTTTTTAATTCTTATCTTGATTTTACCTTTATTATTTAATTTAACTAGTTATTTAGTTCAGCTAGTTAAAAAAATACTGATAGAAAGTTAAATGATTTGTGTTAATCACCTTCCTTTTATTATAGAACAAACTAAATAAAATATTGTTAGTAACAATAAAATTTTTTCTTACTTATGAAGTTATTTTCAGTGTTCTTTATTTTTAGGAATAAATTCATAGTCTATGTTGTAAAGCGAGTTTTTGTAATTATTTAGGTAATAATCAATATAAATTGAAAAATAAAGAAACTAACAAGCCGTAAATCTATGATAGTTAATCTATGCTCAAGTAATAAAAAAAACCTTTATTGGAAAAGTTAATAATTTAAAAATAAAATATTGCTTGCCAACGGCAAGCAAAGAGACATAGAGAAGAAAATAGTAAGTTTAGGTGAATGTTTTTTTATAATTTAAAATTAGTTAAATCCTATCATTGAAAGGAACAATGACGTAGCATAATAAACACAGTAGTTTTCTAATATGATACAAATATTTAAGGGTAGGTTAACTGAACTTCAAATGCAAAATTTTAGTATTAAATGACAATTAAAACAAATGAAGAATTAAATGAAATTAAAAGACATTCAAAATCTTATGAAGCAATTCAACAAAGTGCAGTTATTGCTTTGATGAATTCAATTGGATTTACATTTGAATTTAGAAGACCAGAACGTGTTGCACTTAAAACAACACAATATTTTTATATTCAACAACTCTTTTATTTTGATGAAAAAGTGGATTTTGAGTATTCAATAGATAAATTCTGTGAAGAACAACTTGCCATTGAGTTGCAAGATGCACATCCAAATGCCTGTAAAAAAACATTAAAAAGAAGAAAAGATTTAAATAGAGCTGCATTAACATTTAATTATCTTATTAAAATTTTAGAATCACTTGGATATTTCGTTTCTACTAGACCAACTAAAAGCTCAAAGAAAACTCTTCAGATGGTAAAAGTTGTCGATATACGACTTGGGAATGAGTTATTGTTAAATAAAGAAAATGTTGATATTGTTGGTAAAGAAATAAACAAATATATTCTTTCTTTATTTACAAAAAATGAAAGAAAGTTGACTTTGAAGAAATTTGATGCTAAGTGTAATGAAGTAATTATGTCTAATAATAATTTTACTATAGAAGGAATCATAAATATACCAAATACAAACTTGTTAATATACGATAATGCCATAAGTCAATCCTCTGAACCAATTAATTATAATAATTCAGACTTCATTCTAGAAAATGGTTTTATCCAAAATATATATTAGTAGATGTATTTATTTTAATTGAATATTATCATTATTATTAAAACAATTTTACAGTTTATATTATTAAAAATTTGTATGATCATAACTTTCAGTGAATTATAATATACATATAAAATGTGAATTCTGTTTCTATAAAATTATATGTTTAAGACTCACAACTAATTAATTTCTTTTAAAACATATTAAACTTTGACACTGTTCTATTCAAATTTACAAAAAAGGTTAAATGAAAAAAAGTGAATGGTTAATAAAGATTCACCTTTGAAATAATGGTATTGTATCAGATTTTAAATTAATAAAATTTGGTATCCTTTTTTCATTGTCCTAACAACATTATAGCTCTAATAATTGTTTTTTTTTATTAGAAGATACAAAAGAATGTTTATAGAATTATTTAACACAAATACAGGTGTTTATCATTGTTATACATTCAGATGAATAAACTTCTTTTAAATCTCCTATCATAGAACAAATATTTTAAAAAAATAAATTAATTTAGTGAGAAAACAAGTGTTATTTGCTTAAAGCAAATTTGTTAGAAATAATAGCTTACTAAAAGATAATTTTCATATTTGTTAATGCAGATCATCTATACTCAAACAAAATAAAATTATTAGATAAATTATTATAAT